CCCACCACCTCCCCCCCTCCACGCTCTGGGCTCCCCCACCCGGCGCCATCTGCAGACACTCACCCCGGGAAGACCATGTGGGCACTGAGGTCACCTTCCGCGGTGGCGTTGATGGTGCTGAAGGACATCAGTAGATGGTCCTTTGTGCCCAGGAAGACTTGGCAGTCGGACACCATGGCCACCACATACCAGAGGCCTGAGAACTGCAGGGCAGCTCTGTGACCAGCCAGGCGGGCGGCCGACGCCAGACCCCCTCCCCCGGGATGAGAGGTGGTCTTCCCCAGCTCGGACCCACGGACAGACGGACGGAGGCCCTGTTCTACCTCTTTCCCCACGGCCCCAGCCCCACAGTCGCCCACGCCCAGGGTCACTTTGGATCAGACGACAGCAGGGCTAAAGCTGCCCCCGGCCAGGCCCACACCCAGGCCAGCACGGCGGCGGCCATGCTCCCAACAGGCGCTCGGCACTGCGCCCTCCCTGGGCACAAAGCCCAGTACCTTTTGGGCATTGAAGTCCGGCTGCACCAAGACCTCAGCCTGAGCCACAGACACCCAGAGCAGCACCAGGACCCAGCACGGCAGGACCAGCCCCATTCCCACACCTGTGTTCCAGCCCCAGCACCCCAAGACTCCAAGCCCAGGCGGCCTGGGCTTTATGGCCCAGTCGAGGGCTCACCGGAAGGGCAGGTTGGGGAGGAAGCAGAAGGCGCCTTGGACACCTAGCCCTGCTTTGTCCATTGTTTGGCACAATCACTCAAGTGTACCCCCTGACCCCAGGGGTCACTTCCTGAAGCACTCCAGACAGCCCGGCTCCCACACACACTGGCATTGGCCAGCAGGGTTGCTGTCGAAACAGGATGGACCCAGGAGCTGCATCTCCCTCTGCCGCGACCATCTCGGGCCCCGGGTGCGGCTGGGAAGAAGCCGGGCATGACTGTCCTCGGCCAGCAGCCCCGCCCAGACCCAAGAACACAGGGCTCCTCTCTCTCATCCTCACTAGGAGCTGGGGTCACCACTGGCCAGGCCTCCAGGCCTCATCCAGGCCCCGGTTCTGTGTCAGCACCAGCCGTAACACCTCTGGGCTCCTCCTTCCCGCCTCCACAGTCCCCACACAGCCCCACCTGGGCAGGGGGGGCTGGGCGGCACGGAGAGTGGATTATGGTTATCGGTGGCCGCCTTATCTCCAGTTTAGGAAGTGTGCCCATGGGAATGACGCCAGCGAGGCGCCAGGGCTGGAAGAGGTTAGAGTGGGGGAAGGACTTCCCAGGTAACCTCTGTGCCCCTCAGGACCCCAGGGACCCTAGTCCAGAAACAACGCCCAGCGCCCTGCACACCTCCCGGACCTTCCAGCCACAGCACATAAACCCTGCACACCTCCCAGAGCTTCCAGAAACAACACATAAACCCTGCACACCTCCCAGAGCTTCCAGAAACAACACCTCCCATACTTCCAGGGTGGGCTTCTGGGAGGCCACACTCTAAGCCCTCCAGGAGTGCCTGCCCACCAAGCATCAAATGATAGTACTGGCCAAAACAATACAAGAACTGTGGGAACAAACCACCTGGCTCAGTGCTCCAGCCTGTGATCCTAGATGTTGGAGAAGCAGGGACTGGGGGACTACAGTTCCAGGCCAGTCTTGAAGCTTTTCATCTGGACCAGCAGCTAGGCAGTGTTACACCACTGTCTCCCCAGCTACGGGAAGAGCAGCTAGATGTAATGGGGAAAGCCACCGTGGCAGCTGAGAAGGAAGCTCACATGGGGGACGGATGTCCAGCCAGCCCCGGGAAAGAGTAAAACTCCATCTTGAAAATAATCTATGCAAAATGAGAGTGGATCAAATAGTAGGATGTCTGCTTAGCCAGCACAAAGGCCTGAGTTCAAACCGCAGTGCCACAAAAAAAAAAAAAAAAAGGAACAAGCTTTTTGTGCTTTTATGCGTATCCCGACTCATCTATCTGCCGTGGGCAAGTCCTGCTTCTCAAGAAACAGTAACTTTTCCATAAGAGACTCTGTTGGCCGCGGGGAGCTCGGCCAGGGCTCTGGGGCAGTTGCAGACGGGTGGCAGGCTCCAGCACAAAGAGTTCATTCAGATGCAGTGATTTCTGTTCTTTCCCACACAGAGGAGAACACAAAATCAAGGAGACTAGGACAATCGCCAGAGGTCGCCCAGCAAGTAAGGGCCCTCCAGAGGGGGAACCTGGTTCTGACCTGAGCCCCAGGTGGCACCAGAGGCAGGCCCGCAGTGTGGCTGGCGGTGGACACTACCCATCCTCTGGCGCCTGGTGCCAGCAGCCTCCCCGGGGGCGGGAGTGCAGGGGAGGGGCACCCTGGGTAGCAGCCACCAACCTGCAGCTCTGGATGCTGCAGCTGCCCAGGACCCAGCAGAGGGCAGGCTGGCTGACGGACAGCCAGGCGCAGCAGCTGGGCAGCCAGGCCTAAGACAGAGCGGCCTGCCGTGGGCTGCCACCATACCACGTGCACACAGCCTCTATCACCAAACCACTCCAGCCACGCAGCCCCTGTGAGTTCCATGCTTGCTGGCTACAGCCATCTCTACCCCGCCAGACCAGGCCTGACCCCCGCAGCGAGCAGACGCTGCACCCTGAGTAGGGGTCCCTGCCCAGCCCCTCTGTGGCCATTCCTTGTCCGAGCCCCGGTGACCTGTCCCCCATGTGCACAACATGAGGCTGCTCAGGCCTTGCTGGGCAGGAGAGCCGCCCCTACCACGGGGTCACTGGGTGCGGGGCTGGGTGCAGCTGGCGACAGGCAGGAAGTGTGCCTGCCCGGGACTTGGGTTCCCTTTCCGGGGGGAAAAAAGCTGAGCTGTGAGGATCGTGGACGAGGCCACCCCAGCCGTGGCCGGCAGGAAGAGCCCCAGCTACTCCTCACTGAGGCGGAGCGGGCAGAGGACTGAGCTCTGGACCCTGGAGCAGCTGCTCTCCTTAGAAGAATGGGACGCCCTGTCCTGCAGCCCCTTGTGTACCTGCTCTGCCTCTGCTCCTCCCAGGCACTGGGCCAGGAGGGAGGCACCTGTCCAGGTGAGGGGGGCTGCTCAAATGTGTTTTCACGCACACGCACACACACACAACACACCAGGCCTGACAGGTGGACCAGCCGGGAACCCTCAGGAGTGTTCTGACTGGCACCAAGGCTTGAGGAACAGGGGTGCTGGAGGGGGCAGCCCTGCCCTGAAGCCCCACCCTCTTTGTTTGTGCAGATGTGAAGATCGTGGGTCTGGGGGCCCAGGACAAGATGGCGATCATCCAAACTTGCCCTGGCTTTCCTGGCCCACCAGGGCCCAAAGGGGAGCCAGGCAGCCCTGGCGAGAGTGGTGGGGCCAGACCCGGGGTGCGGTGGAGGGGTGGGGTCTGAGGGGGGAGGGGGAGGGGGGAGGTCTGAGGGCTCCATCCGGGAGCCCCCCCCATAGCCCTCCCCACGCCCACCCCAGAGATGCAGTGCGGTCCGCTGTCTGTGTTTCCAGGAGACCGGGGACCCCCGGGCAGCCCGGGAAAGAGGGGGCCGGCCGGCAGCACAGGTAGGAGGGAGCCCCTGGCTGGACGTGGGAGCAGTCAGTGGACCCTGAACCTGGGGCAGACTGCTGGGTACACAGGAATTCCTCCCATCCCTCCCTTCCCCCTCCCCTCCTCATCCCTCTCCCCCTCCCTTCCTGCGCCACTTGCACACATGCAATAGGAAGAGGAGCACCTCCTCCTCTCAGGGGGCTGAGTGTGAGGACGCCCTTACACCCACAGGAGAGCCCGGAGCTACGGGGCCCCCGGGAGCCAAAGGTGAATGTGCAGACGGAGCCACTCTGGGAGGGGGGGGCTCTGGGTGAGAGGTCTGGGGTGGGCTCCCACCCAAGCCTTGCTCAGAGGACGGAGGGAGTGCCTGGACCCATCTGGTCGGCTTGGGGGACCCAGCAGCAACCCCAAGATCTTCCTAGGGTGCACCTCTGGGAGCGGCTAATGGCTGCCTGCTCCTGCATGACGGTTTCCCTGCATGACAGAGCTTCCTGCATGTCGGTTTCCCTGTATGATAGAGCTCCTGCATGTCAGAGTTCCCCGCATGACGGAGCTCCCTGCAGGGCGGGGTCCCTGATGTGGGGTGCGGAGAGGAGCTGGGGGTGCTTGGGGGCTTGGTCAGGGCTCTAGCTCTCCATGCCCTGCATCTGTCCAGGAGAAAAAGGCGACAGTGGAGCTACAGCCTCGCTGGGTGAGGACACCCCAACCTGAGACTCCCAGAGGAGCCTGGCTGCCGGTTCCCGGCGGGGCCCTGCACCCCTGCACCCCTGGCCTGGGCCTGTGCGGGTGGAAGGACAAGGGGACCCCAGGAAGGCCCTGGGGCCTGAAGAGACGGCTCACACCCCCAGCCCAGCTGGGCTGACCTGGCTACGGAGCCTCGGAGCCTCGGGGCACACTGGTCTTGGGGCCAGCACTTTGGCCAGAGGGACTAAAGGCCAGGAGGGGCAACCAGCACCCCTCAGAGGGGCCAGATGCTAGTGGGGATCCAATGGCTGTGCCCGGCCAGGGTGACAGGGGTGGTGGGAGGGGCCTGGGTGAGAGGAATGGTGGGAGGGGGCCTGTGTAGGAGGGGCATTGGGAGGGGCTGGGGACAGTGGGAGGGGCCTGGGTGGGAAGGACACCCAGGAAAAAGGACCTGTGGAAAAGGAACAGAAGGAGGGGCTAGGTGGGAGGGGCAGTGGGAGGGGCCTGGGTGGGAAGTTCAGTGGGAGGGGCATGGTGGGAGGGGAAGGCACCAACAAAAAGATACCATGTCTCCTGCCCAGGGGCAGCGCTGAAGGACACACTGTGCCAGAGAGGTGAGCGTCCGGCCGGCCCTCCCACCCCACCACTGGCGGGAAGGTGAGCGGGGGACTTGGGGAGCCCACACAGCACACCCCCCAGCAGGCCACCCCTGCCCTCTCCCTCCCGGCACAGGGGCCCGGAGCTGCAAGGATATGCTGGTGCAGGGTGGCTTCCTGACCGGCTGGTATACCGTCTACCTCCCGGACTGCCGGCCACTGCAGGTGCTGTGCGACATGGATGCGGACGGAGGGGGCTGGACCGTGAGTACCGAGCCTCGGGCCAGCACTCGGGAAGGCAGTGCAAGGGCGGGGTGCAGAGAGAAAATGGGGGGCCTCCCCGGCCAGAACTCCCACCTCCATGAAGAGGGGTGCAGCATGAGAATGGGGTGAGGCTTCAGCAGTGGTAATGGCTGTACTCAAGCCTCCAGTGACCCTGCCCACACCCCGTGGCCCCTTCACCCCTACTCCCCACCCACTGGTGCCTCTGTGTTAGGAGAGAGGAGGGAGGCCCCGCAACCCACGACTCATGTCCCACAGGTTTTCCAGCGGCGAGTGGATGGCTCTGTGGATTTCTTCCGGAACTGGGAATCCTATAAAAGAGGCTTTGGCAACCAGAACACAGAGTTCTGGCTGGGCAATGACTACCTGCACCTACTCACCAGCAGAGGTGAGGATGGCACCCGGGCCGGCCAGGCCTCCGCACACCCTCCCCGCTGCCGCCTGGGACTCAGCCCTTCTCTTCCCTCCTCCTGCGCTGTGGCCAGGGAACCAGGAGCTGAGGATCGACCTGCAGGGTTTTCAAGGTGAAGCCGTGTATGCCAAATACAGCCAATTCCAGATATTGGGGGAAGAGGAGAAGTATAAGCTGCTTCTGGGTGACTTTCTGGGGGGCACTGCAGGTAGGTTTTGGAGACATCGCGAGACCCTGGGCAGGGCATGGCGAGGGCCGGGCTTTACCTGCGCTCTGGGAGCTGAAAGGTGCTGGGCTTTTCTTTCCAGGAGATTCCCTGATGAACCACAAAGACATGCCCTTCACAACCCAGGACCAGGACAATGACATGCACAGTGAGAACTGTGCTGCTCTGTTCCGAGGGGGCTGGTGGTACAACAACTGCCATCACTCCAACCTCAACGGGCGCTACCTGGCGGGCTCCCACGAGAGCTACGCCGATGGCATCAACTGGCTCACTGGCAGGGGCCACCGCTACTCCTACAAGGTGTGTGAGATGAAGATCCGGGAAGCCTAGGCTGCTTGCACCCACACCCTGACCCCCCCCCATGCCCAGGCCAGGTGAGAACATGGACAGAAGGCCACACAAATCCAAAGCCCATGCTCTCTGCAGTATGCTGTCTGCTGTCTGTTCCTCCGGGAATCTCTCCAGCGCATGCACAGTGCATGAGGGTCACTGCATAGCTGGCACAAATAAAAATGAAAAGCAGGGCATATGCCTGACACCCTCAAAGGCCTTGTGGAGGCAGGGCCACAGAGGCCCAGGCAGGAGGAGGAGGTCACCGGGCGTCCTTAATGGCCCCAAGATCACCTTGACCTCTAGATCACCTCCCAGAGCACCAGGGAGGACAGGAGCAGCCAGCTTCTGCCAGAGCCTGCTTCCAGGAGCAGACTGGTAGGAATGGGGATATGAAGGGGAACCCAGCTCAGCCCCAACCACAGCCCTGCACACACCTAGACACCAACAGAGGGGCACATCAGGCCTCAAGAGACTTGGGGTGGCCTCTCCCAAAGCCTCTTCTACCACAGATCTCCACGGTTACCCCAGGCATGGAAAACATAGGTCAGAGTAGCCAGTGCGGGGCACAGCCTACGAACACCAGGAAAGGCAGGCAGGTCATCCCAAGATGACCAAGGATGACAGGCTAGACCAGGGACCAGACCAGACAATGGCCCTGCAGGCAAACAGAAATCCACACCTACAAGGAAACTGAGGCCTAGAGGGCTGAGAGCTGGCTGAGACCCACCCCTGGTTCACTCTCAGGATACAAGCCCACCAAGGAGACCCCCCCCAAGGCAAGGCTGAGCAGCGGCTGCAGCCCTACAGCTCTGGGCTAGGAAGGCCAGGCCTAGGCCCGGGGATGCGGTGGAGACCCCGGACCGCAGGCCAGGAGGGGCGGAGGGAGGGGGCCGGCCCGCGGAAGGAGACCCGTGGACTCCCGTCGACCGCGGCATCCGCAGCCCATTCGCTTTCAAGAGGTTTAACCCTGACCATCAGGGCCGAGCAAAGCCCAGACCCGACACACAAGACACCCGCCTCAGTCTCGGGTGGGAAGAAGGCCGCGTGGGCGCTGGGAGAACACAGTCTGCGGCGCGCTCCGCCCCGCCCCGCCCAGCTCCGCGCAGGCCCCGCCCCTCCCAGCTACAAACCGGCCCCGCCCCTCCCAGCTACAAACCGGCCCCGCCCCCAGGGGCTCCTCAGGCTCTCCCGTAGCCCCGCCCCGGCCCCGGCCCCTCCCCCTCCGGCGCCCGCGCACGCTCCCTCCGTAGCCCCGCCCCGGCTCCGCCCCCCGCCGGCTCCCCTTCGCCCGCCATGGTGAACCTGGGCCTGTCCCGTGTGGATGAGGCCGTGGCCGCCAGGCACCCGGTGAGAATGTCGGGCGAGGACTCAGAGGCTGACCTGTGGGCTGGGCCTGTCCGGGAGGAGGGCGGAGAGGGGGCCGCTGTGGGGCCCGGGGTGGGGGGGGCCTCCGAGCCCGCAGGGGCGGGGACGGCGCGGGAGCTGAGCCCCGCCTCTTCCGGCCCAGGGGCTCGGGGAGTACGCCGCGTGCCAGTCCCACGCCTTCGTGAAGGGCGTGCTC